TTCCTTCCCAACCCATTCCCTAGAAGAAAGATTGTGGAATATTTTGAATAATCAAAATATATTATTTGCCGCTGACAAAGGAAGCTGCCATAGATGCTTTCTTCTATCTTACTGTAATTTAAGACCAAACTACATGTTATATTAAAGATCTGTGACTGCCTGTCTGGTAGTTATTTTCATTTTTCAAATTAATTGTGCCTGTCATAGGTGGGAATACGGTGCTGAAATAAGGAAAATGAATCCTTTTGCCTTGTGCTATTCTACCAGTTGAAATTCCTCTTCAAGAAGTGGCAGCGTGGGGGGTAGGAGGAAGGCAGTAAACATAAATATCATATGTCACCTCTAATCTCTTTAAAAGCCATAAAAGCCTACAGAGTTTTGGGTGCAGGTTTAGCTAATGGCACAGAAGCTTTTATTTACCACAGAGAGGTCAAGTAAAGCTGAATAAAGACAAAACTTATGGCAATATTCTAGGCCTAGAATGTCACTTCATTTGAAGCTGACACTTGTGTTCCTTATCCATTATTGCTTCCTCACAGTTCCCAGTGAATTGCTTTTTTATCACCTTTAAGCTCTTCATGGGGTAGAAGAATATTGCACTGGTGGTGCTGATGATATGTAACCTCCCAGTCCACATCCCCTTATTCTCTTTTGATGTGGAGCTCTTCAACAATAACATTAAAAAATGAAAGCAAATCCTCCAGGGATATATATGTGTCCTAAACTTTTTCAAGAGCTCTCCAGACTGGAAATTATACTGACATGTAGGATTTACAACAGAATATTGCAGTGGGAAATGCTTCTTTTGAGAATTCCAGCCAGGTAACCTTATTCTCTTTCAAAATGTCCCATTCTCTTTTTTCTGAAAATGTTTTGCACTTCTACAGACCTTGGAATGCCCCCAAGTCTGTTAAACCTTCCTCTCGTGCACAGATGATCCATTTTGCTTCCATAAAAATACATATTAAGAAAATGAGTTTGTTCTGGACTATAGATTGGGCCTATAGCCACATAAATATAATAGGACTTGATAATATTCTGAATTGGCTTTGAAGAGGAAAAAAGTAACTGGATATGTGATAAAACACCCAATCACATACTGGAGACAACACTGTGATAGAGGTCATTTGTTTATGTCACTACTGGGAGATGTAAGCTCTACTATATCAAAAGCTGCCATCAGAATAACGTTTTGATTTAAATGTAATTAATTCATAAGACATTGATTCAAATAATCAGTCTGAACAACAGCTTAAATTGAGAAAATTAAATAAATGTAACCTGTATTAACTTACATAATTTTTAAGCAAACATAAAGCAAAATCCTTTATATAGAAAATCAATAGGTTTTAGCATAAAGATCCCACCGGTCTACTTAAAAGCATGTTCTATAAACCCAATTCACAAAACAACATTATTTTAAGGTAATGCATAATTGAAACAGAGTTCACTGTAGATTGTATGCTACTCTACATATGAAATTTAAACACTGAAAATAGTTATGAACAGCTTTTGACCTATTTCAGAAATCCACTGCTTTGTTCAGGTCATGTAGGTCACATTAAATAAAGTCACAATAGAAACATTTTAATAAGCATCACATTTTAGGAAAATCATTTTTAAGTTAATCATTCTAAGTCCCTAGTACATATAATCTCTTCTTCCCATCTGTCTGCCTCACTCTTTCCATCTGCTCCCTGCATGAGTCTTGCAGTTCTCTACAGATCAGTAGTGAATACTCAAGTGAACCTCCAATGGCCTTTCAGATTACAGTTTGCAAAAGTTATTTGACAAAAATGCATGCTTTATTATAATAAAAGGGTACAATAATTATAACCAAAACTATATTAACTTTTAAAGAATACATAATCCTACAATTTATTTAGAAAAGAAGTGAATTATCTAATGTGATTCCAAATTGACCTACAAAAGCAATACCCTAAAACATTGATAAAACAGATATGTTTCATTTTAATCAATATATTTAAGATGCATATAAGCATCATAATTTGCTAAATCTTACAGAAGTATAGAAACTTGCTTAAAATTTTTGTTGCATATGAAAGGCCAAAAAGTATGACAAATATTGAACATATCCTAAAAGGGTGTTCTGTTGAACTGAAGCCATCTTTATAAAACATTAAGGTTAGGATGCAATACAAGGCATGCAAACATAAAGATAGAAGTACAAGACTTTATATTAATATTAAGTATGAAAATAAGACCCTCTAACATCGCTAAAGTTAAACAATACTTGAAGTTATAAGTAGAGTGGTGAAGAGAAATGTGAGGGGTCTAGCCTCCAACCCAGATACATCTTCCAGGGAAAGAAAAACACCATGCTCAGCTATTCTCAGTTAGACACTAGAAGCATGCAGGTGTGACAAATGTTGCATGTGGTAACAAAATAATGGAAGTGTTAAATGCAAAGAATGTTAACTAGGGCAGCTAAGAAATAACTAATAATGCTGGGAACTTGAGGTTTTTCCATAGTGGCTAGAGATATGCAATGGCTTCAGATAAGGTTTCTTCAACTCTTTGTTTTAACTCAAGGGTACCATTTTGTATATGGACCCTTTACCTCACTTATCTCACCTCATTACCACATATATTGACATGTGCATGCTGTTACCTAATCAGTGAATCAGAAGCAAATTAAATCTGTATTGTAATTTGTATAAGTCTATATATAAAAAGACTCATGCTTCCCCACTTTAGGCTTGTCTTCACCTCCAGTACTATCAGTAAGACAATTTGTGCTTCACTGCAGGTCCCCAGTTTAAACACACTCAAAAATTCTCCAACAGAGACATACATTCAAAGGAATCTGGCTAATTGTTTTTGTGTATTCTGTGTTTGATATGAGTAGCAACAATTGTTTCACATAATAGCCATAGCTATGATAGATTACTGAGACTAACTGCCAAGTACATCAATAATTCATTCAGTTAAGTGGACTGGGACCACTTAATTAAAGGTTTGACTTTATGCAAAAGAATATTCTATATAGAAATACATACACACATGCACACAGACATACACAAACACATCTCTATACGCAAAACAAAGCTAGATGTACTTGGTCCAATGCCCAACTGTTCTCCTGAGTGCAAATGTTTGGTTTCCTCCACAAACTTTACTGAAAGTTTGCCAAAGACCTTGACCTCCTTAATGTACATACATTGTGCCAGACAGCAGTTAAAGACACTTGAATCGCTGACTCCATTTAATAATGGCAAGTTAAGTGCAGTATCTGACAGTCTGAAAGAAAATAAGCCACTAGGCTAACATTAAATATGATATTGGTATAATAGCCTCTGAGACTTAAATTATAAAGATGGCATCAAGAGGTTTAAACTGGTTAGAGAAATTTGGAATCAAAATCAGGTCACTTTTCTTTTTTCTTTTTAATTTGAGCATATGAACCACAAAGGATGTGACAGTTTAACCATGTGATTCTACATGAAATAAAGCTCACTGCATTCAACAGGACTTAGTCTTAGATAGATGATTATATAGAATTGTAACCTAATTCCCAGTGTGTCACATTACATGTAATTATTACATTATACATGTAACTATAATATTTCAAAAAGTGCTTTCCATCCCAAATTATAAAGCAAAGCATTTGACAGTAGAAAAATCACATAATTAAATACACAGTAATTTCATTACCATCAGATAGGGTTTTTTTTAAATCAAATATATCTACATGTTTATAAAATTCTAAATATTCTCTGTTAACATTATGCAAATATATCTTTTCTACTTTTGCAATTCAGAAGTTTCTTACAGTTTGTAAGAAAAACATCCTATGATTGTAGATGACAGAGAGTCACAAGAGCAGAGTTGTTTGTGGAAGGGAATTTTTTGAAGTTTACCATCAAAGCTGAAGGGATTGTGCTTAATCTAGCCAGAGCAAATGCTTTGTGATATCTACTATTTATTAAGTATTGCCAATAATTAGCTGGCTTGGTGGTAAAAGACAGTCTCCAAGACTTATGTAGCCTTGGTGCTAAACTGATGTCATGTTGCCATCCTATATCAAGGATCCTTCCCTTCAATGATCTGTTTGCTTGGTCATATCCCATCATTTGTATCGCCTCATTAGAGATGCCATAGGCTCCCATCCTTTGTATTGCTCATTAGAGATGCCATAGTTTTTCTCTAATGGATATCTTCCAAGTGGGTTGAAAGTTATCCCTGTTAATGAGGGATGTCAGGCCTGTTGGGTTAAATAATAGTTTTAGCCCATAATTAAAGATAACAATCCAGATTCTGGCTTCTATCCTTGTAATTCCTAGTTTTAGTCTTAAAGCTGTGTTAGATTTACATCTGGGGACCACTTAAACATCTGCTGAACATCTATTAAACAAGACGCTTGCTTTACATGGCCTTTTCTCAATCAGCTCCTGATGTTACATGGCAAATTTACTGAATCTTAGAAAGCTTGTTACCTGGTTACCTTTGGAACTCTTTCCTCCAATCAGATTCAACCTAGTTGGGGGCATCTCTCCCATGAAAACTGTTAATAATGCCTCTTTTCTTGGAAGTGAGTAAAGCCAAGGCCTGACGCAGTGAACCTTTGTGATGATCTTCTCTTCGAGGTGAGTTTGATTCCATTAATTAATTCCATTAACCATCCAGAAATTAGTTCAAATCAAATTATTCTAGGAAGTTTTAAGGTGAATTGTAACATTATCAGGGTTGTGCCATATCATCATCATCATCATCATCATCATCCAGATGTTTACACTGGATTTAGCATTTTTATCCACCTGTTGAGTCCTTCCCAAAGACCTGGGATAGGCAGTTGTGATTTGATGGTGTTAAAGGTATCATCACAGGATGTAAACTGTTCCAAGCAAAGCTGCCTTTTGCAATTGATTGATGGTGATTTTGTTGATGATGATGATTTGCCTTCAGTTCTGCATTGACTCCTGATGATTGTCTGGAC